AAAAAAAAACCAGAGGAATTGTTCACTGGAAATGAAGCGAATGCTGCCGACAGTGTCAAAATGGCACTTAATAATTAGCATTCATTAGTAATTAGTATTTAGTACATTATGGTATTAAACTGTACCTGGACAGAAAACGATTGATGATCTTTGTAAGTGCTTAACCCAAATTCAGTCTCCAAGGGATTTTTGTTTTCGTCCTGAAATGATATGTCAGTGAACGATAACAGAAAACAACCATACCGAGTATGCGGATTCACCTCAGTTGGATAAACATTACTGCTTGGGAAGGAGTCATAAGAGGTCAGATCTGTGTAACGCTTTTCCAATATCTTCTTTGTAGCTGCACAGTAATGGACGCTTTTCACTACTTTTGGACGAACAGTGGAACCTGAACAAAGCCATTCCTATCTTTCATTCGGCGTACATGCTACGAGAAACCTACATTTCGTCACGATTCCTTCACAGCAGACGAGATTGCCCAAAAACGATGATTTCAATGATCTGGGATTAACGTGTCGATCTCCAAAGCTGCCTTCGAAACCAACTTCGACTTCGCTGAATGACGACATCTTGCAATGTGCAACATCGTCAATCCAGAAATAACAGCAATAAGGTTCATGAAGCTCACTGATGTTTGACAAATTCAGAGCTGGCCCGTTCAACGATTTCCTTTGCAGCCTGCTCCAAACATATAATCTCTTCTACGAAATTATGTATCAATCTGAAAAACTCTCACGAAATTATGAACAAAGAACCTTAAGGTATGAATAACTCACCCAAACGCTCGCTCAGCAGACTTTCTTCGAATGTCATTCAAGTTCACTATTAACCGTGGGCAATTGCTGCTAATCATATCCTCGACTTTTTGCACGTAAACTTTGCCTTCAGTCTGGAATATAACAGATGGGACCCAATCTATAAAGCTATCTTAAAATTGATTATGAAATTTTTCGTTTCTGCAACTAAGAACCACACTTGACCTGGGCACTGTTCAAGCACTGAAATGGTTCAGAGTAGCAGAACAAGCTTCCCACAAAGGGTAGCCATGCCGAGTATGTGTGAAACATATACTCTACGTGGCTGCCTTTGGATGCAAGCTCATGAGGAACATGCAAGGTATAGTAAACTTCTCCCCAGACCTTAGAACTTCGCTATTCCTTCATGGAAGATGTCATAGCGAAGCACCTATTCAAATAATCATGTGATGGTAAAAAAAATCATGAAGACAACTGTTTAAAAAATGCGGTACAGCTATCGCTGTTTCCAACTAGTTAGATTTCAAGCTCCCCCTTTGAGAGAAGTAGCAGAGGATTGGCTCTTCAGTGTTTTCAACCTCTTCAGAACAGGCATGCTTATGAAGTGGGGAAGGCACGTATGGGGTTCTTTATACCAGTCTGAAGAAAGAAAGTGAGGTTCAACGTACTGCTTCTTCTAGAACTGAGCAGTTCAACTTGCACTCCCTAAAAATAATTTGCTGTGAAGCTCTACCAACTCGTCTTCCTCCATAGCTCATGTTCTTGATCACTGAGCAGGGAAAGGCACATACAACACACAGCCCGCTGGTTAATTTCAAAAGCAAGTTGTACGAGAAGGTAGATAAATTTACGAAAAACTGCAAAAAAAGATACCGAATCATCGAGGATATTGAGATACTGCTGAATCAGCTCGCGATTCCTGACTTCGTTTGTCCGATCCGTAGTGAAATTGCTCTCCATGTCTGCAAAAAGCGTTGGTTGGGAAACAACAGGAACATGCGACCTCAAGACAAAATAACAAGACGGATGAACGTGAATTGCAGATTGGTCGTGAACACTATGCATCATGTAAGATAGTTCACACTCTTGAAAGGAATCGAAAGAAGAAACGAATGGCATTAACACCGAACACAAAATAGGAACGGAGATTACCCGCGCTTATTTGAAACTGCACTTTCCCGCTGCCACTTCTTCGATGGGAGCGCGCTTTCTGAAGGCAGTTTTCATGCCCCAAATTGGTAATCGCTGGGTTCCTCGAATTCTTCTTGTCAGTACTACCTACAAAATAAATTCAGCACAAGGGGGGGGGGGGGAGCAGAAGGTGAAATTCTAGAAACTGAAAGTCCCTTAATTGAGAGGCAGGGATTTCATATGGCGTCTATTCATTTACTGATCGTTGTAATAGTAACGTCAAATTTGCTGAGACTCAGATTCGAGATGAAAAATATAAAGTGCATTAGCTAGTGCGACCAAGGATAGGTGGCTGAGTCTTGATTCAGTGTAGATAAATAAAGAGCTCTATCCAGATGGGAGCGAAAAAATGATTATGAAGGTATGGATGGTGTAATCCGAGTGGTAGCGGAAAGGCTGTTCGTGGAAAGGAAAAGATCACAAAACAAGCTCTCTGATGACCATATTTACAGATTATAGTTGGCTTTTTGCATGTGTATCAGAATTAGTTGGGTAAGCGGTTTTCGGAAACTGTTTCCATTTTCGGAAAAGAGCTTTTGCGAGTACGCAAAACTAAACATGATCAACACTCATTAACGCAAACATTCTCATTCATCGCATGTTCAACATCCCCGAGGACAGAAAGTTTTCCTTTGTTCATACGTGACACCCTCGCGATAGCAGAAACCGTTCGCAATGTGTGCTGGGCATCTGGAGAATCATCAGGAGTTCCCTTCTAGTGAATCTTATAAAAATCATTTTACTTATTCTGGACGGTCCTCGCACTTGTTTTGCTCTTGGATAGCATGAGTGGTAGCAGCAGTAGTGGTGGGAGTAGGCCATGTGGTGCTAAGGGTCGTTGGCCTTACTGTAGTAGGTCGAGGCTCGTCCTTCGAAACCAAAGCAGTTCAATAGGACTTCGACGAATTCAGGCACACTGCATTACCTTGTCGGTATCGTAAAACCGTTTGTGATATGTAGGCCCTATTCCACGATTCCACGATATTATTGGAACACGATTAGTATAAAAACGAAGTTTGACCCCTGAGGTGCTAGGAGAACAGAATGAGCAAGAATTTAAAGAGTAGAAATGAGAATGAGACTAGTCAACAGTGCATATATTTTCATAAAAACGATACCTATGACCAGTTGGCTACCGATTCCTGTTTGCCATGATTTCTACACCTGCGTTTGGACAGCCTTCAAGGGCATGGTGATCGGAAAGGCTCACAAGCTCAAGTTCGATTTCGGTATTTCTAGGAGGCTAAAAAAGGACGGCTAAGTATATGGAAACAATATCTGTTCCAAAGGTTGTTTCCTAATGCATCTGATTTTTCTTCAAAGAGTCACTAATCTCAGGTTTGGCAAGAATTGCCCGTAGTGCGTAGCAGAGTACCATCCAATCTACGTGAGGCGCTAATGTCACGTAGCCGACCGATAGAGGTGAAAATCTTGGTCAGCTCAAATGATCAATTGCATTCAAGCTTTCCTGCTACAGCGCCAGTCACTGGCATATTTGAACTTCACAACTTTCTTCAAGTTGTAGCGTACGCCCCTATTGAAATGTTCAGTAGAATTATTTCAAAAAAACTAATCGGGCAAACCCAAACCTCATGGCAGTTTCGGAACTTTGCTTCCAAGAGAGAAGACTTCTTCGATAGAAAGGGTAAAGGAAGTAGGAACAACCGCAATTACTTATGCCCAGTCATGTTCAAACATTATTGGCGACATTTTCAATTGCGTAGTAAAACTTTATTAAATGATTCGTAGTTGGAAAACTAATTTCATTTCAGAAACAAACATACTTTCGAGTACATAAAACTACGAATCTTCAAAATTTATAGCACGCTGGTGACATCCGCGAGAACAGAAAGCGTGCGTGAAAGGAGATGGTGTTGGTCAGAGCCAGAGTAATCCTTGAAGGCCTTACTGTAATTAGTCGAGCATCGTCTTTCGAAAATAAACCACTTCAATTTGGCTCGAACGAATCAGGCAAGTCATACACCGTATTACGATACCGATATCGCAAAGCCGCTACTGATACAATGACTTTATTCCATGTTATTCTAGGAGCCCGATTAGCAAAAGAGCGAAGAGTGGTTCCCGCTGCGGTTGGAAAACAGAACCTGAGCAAGGCTGAAAACTGGTGTTGGAAAGGCTCGAAGAAAATGGCCCTAGCTCACTGCCTTCGTATTTCAGCAAAAGTTCAATCAGTAATACGTGGACAGGTGATTTTTGTATGCCTCAACTTCTATGCAGGATTTGGATAGTATCCGAGAGCGTGGATGTTCAGAAAGCTTATAAGCTCCGTGGCAGTTTCGGTTCCAAGAGAATGATATGATGGTGGCCGCAGTATCTGGGAATGAAACATTCCCATTGAAAGTCGCTTGTCGTATGTGATTTCTCTTCAGAGATTTTGCTTTTTTCATCACTCCTCGCACGGCTCAAATTGCAACGCTTACTTGAATCCAACTATCGCATTCGGATAAGTTTTCATGAAATTTACTAGAAATTGTGACAGTTTCCTATTCTGTCGTTTCATTTGAAAGTCCCCACATTCGTTGTTGGGTATAAAATGATTGACTCATGGCTAATCCCCTCCGAAAATGTACCAGGGTTACCCATAGTAAAATGTGATGCCAATATTTCCTATGGGTAGCATGAAGTGAAGAACAGGAGCAATGCCCCTAGCCTAGCATTGAAATTCCCTTCTCAAGCGCACAGGTGACATCTCACTTTGCCAATGTCTTAGTCATTGAATATTAGATAGGCTCAAGTATTTTTCCTTTCCATGGAGATAAGCTCAAATATCCTTTTCTGCTGTTCACCACGTCCTCTTATGCATTAGGAGATCTATAAAGCGTGTACCCAAAGGTTTTGGAATGAAATAAACGATTGATAATGGATTATCTTGAGCATTTTGCTTCCCATGTCTCTGAACCTTTTAATTATCTCCACCTCCGTTTAGTTGATAAACACCTTCATAACAAGAACGAATAGGAGTCTGAAATCACCAGGTATGCGTGAATATAAAAAAATCAATCCAAAAAATGGACAGAATCTTGAAAGCACCGCTCTTCGTTGCTGAAGGTGCTTTGCATGGCACTAACAAATGAAGACGAGAAAAACTGTACCCATCTTAAAAGTTCTTTCCACAGATGTTGGCATCAATTAAAGTAAGCTGGGTGTGAATTTCAGAACATGGTCCAGTTTGTGATAGCAGTACTTCTCGTCTCTTTCATTCTCCTTGGCTTTCATTGCAATTGAAATCCAATGGAAAATTAAAGATTACAAAAAACTAAGCACGCTAAACTCCAAGGTTGTCACATCCTCATTACAGAGAGCAGCTCGTGGGACACAGGAATCATTCGGTACTCAAGCGCTTTTTAGAAAAAAATCGTCGTTAGGAGCTGTCACTGTGATGACCTTCATTACCCTTTATTACCTCATCCTACGTTAATTTTAGTGGATTTCTCACCAATCTAGATTGTGCTAAGATAATTCAACAAAGTTTGGGGTTACGGTGTGTTCCAGCTTTTATTGGGGGCGGGGAAGGCTTATGCAAGACTGTATTCTTTAACTTCTAGCTGCTTATCATGACTGCAACATTTCGCTCAAGCGCATGATACAAGGTAGCTGTGTTTATTTCGATGGTTTCAGAATACTTCACACTCCAGGTTTACAACTAACAAAAGGAGTAAGGGTTCTTCAAGCGGCGTGGAAATTGGAGATGCGGAGGCAACAGACAGCTCACTTTTATATACACATGCATTATGACATGAACATATAATATTTGATATAGCAATCTGTTTAGAGTAATCTAGTAGAATCTAGTAGAGTCTTGATGATTGGAGGGAAACTCTTGATAAGAAGGGAAGTGGCGATGTGAATTTACTTCGATTTTTCGAAAGCATTTGATAGAGTCTCTCGCAAAAAAATTGATTCATGAGTTGGAGTATTTCAAGATTTACCCTATTGTTATTAAATGGATCAGAAATTATCTCGAAGGTGCAGATTGATGAACTATTCTTTAGCCCGAGATATGTTGGAAGTGGGTTCCATAAGAAGGTGTATTACGGTCTGTCCTCTGAACATTCTTATAGCTGAAATTCCGAGCATGCTGTGTGAAGTGGGAGTCAGGAGAAAGGCATATGCAGATGATTTAAAAAATTGCAATCCAGTTTTGAGTCCGAGCAACCCGAAAGTTCTGCAAGAGGCGATGGTCCAAACAATGGCAACAATGGCTCCGCTGAAAACGGTTTACATGCAACCAGTGTCTGGGAGGTCATTAGATCACTTATATACTGTTGATGGGGTCCCTCTTACTGTTGTTGAATCGGTAAGAGACCTAGGTTTCATGTATAACAGCAAACTGGGTTTTCGGGAACGTATAATCAAAAGGGTAAAAATGGCTAATACTCGCACATTTCAGATCTTCAACGGGTCATCTACCAAAAATAAAGAAGCATTGTTCAGCGCTCACATATCATACGTTCGACCGTGGTAATTTCTAATTTTACTGTTTTTCAATCCACCTAAAAGAAAGCATATATATATATATGCATTGGAGAAGGTTCGCAATAACTTCACTCGTAAACTGCCCTGATTCGACTCGGTGGTTTCCTCTGTGACAAAATAAAAGAAGCTGCAATCAGGAACAAGTATCTGGGAATATCAATTCTACAATCTAGACGTAAAGTTTTTGATCTTTGTTTAGTTTACGAGATGATACAGGGTTTATCTGGTTCCGATTTATGCAGCGTTTTCAAAATGAGGCCCTCGAGAACAAG